TCAAATCCCCACACATACACATAAATAAAGTGTGATCAAATCAGCACACACCCATACACATAGATAAACAAAGTGCGATCAAATCAGCACACACACATACACATAGATAAACAAAGTGTGATCAAATCAGCACACACACATACACATAGATAAACAAAGTGTGATCAAATCAGCAACACATGCATAAACAAAGTGTGATCAAATCAACACACACACATACATAAACAAAGTGTAATCAAATCAGCACACACATACATAAACAAAGTGTGATCAAATCAACACACACACATACATAAACAAAGTGTAATCAAATCAGCACATACACATATATAAACAAAGTGTGATCAAATCAGCACACACATACACACAGACTAAGACATCAATTCAAAGCATAGAAATGGTTTGGAAACTTCTGTATCAGATTGTATATTGTATTGTGTATGTCAGGGGCATAGTTCAGAGAAATAAGTAAGACTAGGAAAGCCCTGTGTCTGGTTCATGGAGCCTTGTGTGGCCACAGAGGCTCCTGTGAGGGGGTCTCTGAGCTGCACACTCCTAGTGACTGCAGCACCTTCATGACTGACTTTCTCCTCTAAACAGTACTAAGATTTTCAGAAGGGTGGATGCTATGTGTGTGTTTCCACCAGTCTCCCTAGAAGTAGACATCTTCACCAAGGCCAAACAGACAACAGCTTGAACTGGGCAACTGGGACAGTAAATTAAAAAAAATATATATATATATATATACACACACACACACATATATATATATACTGTTTGAACAAAGCCCACCAAACAGGTGTTTACAGAGATTATACATTATACACTGGGTTAGAGATTATTATTCCACTCATTTGAGGAAGACCAGAACGTAAGTAGGGTCTCAGAGACTTACATTTTTTAGTTACACTTAAATGTCTGTAGCTTGCAGAACTGATTTCTACCAGGTTCCCAGTAAAGAGAGAGCTGAGAGCTTCTGAAGGCAAACGAGTGGCCTGACCGTTTTTTCAGGAGTAAGTGAAGGGGGGAGAAAGAAAGATGGGAGGGATGGAGGGAGGGAGGGAAAGGAGGAGGCTTGCAAACGAGAAAGCATAATCAAACCAGAACTCCCATTTAAAGTTCACTGTACATCCCTTAGCACATGTGTATACCACTTACTAACTATATACGTATATATATCCTTGCTTTGAAAATGTTAGCCCTAATTCTTATTAAATGGTTTTGACTTGAAAAGTACTTGGCATGAAATAGAGAACAAATGGTCAATGTCTCCAAAGGTCATATTAAATAAAAACATCTATTAGGAGCATAAACAGGATGAGGTAGGTCCTGTAATCACTCATCCAAAATGAACTACTGTGCTGTACTAATGGGAGTCAGTGTGTGCAAGTGAAAATACACACTTACATGACATCCGATGCTGCCTCTAATGACCACTTAATTGGCCCATTGAAATTTGATTGGCTTTCAGGTTTCCTACTGAAGAAACTAAAGAATTGATGTCATTATCAAGCACAGTAAGCTTGCTCACCCTTGTCTGTATGTGCCCACAAAACTCAGACCCGGAATATAATATGGAAATTTTGCACTGCTCAGTCTCTCTTAAGGAATTGAAAGGACAATGGGAGGCAGGTATCTTACCACTGAAAGGCTGTTTTCTATGGGGAATTGACCAAGCATGACTTCCAGGAAAGGGCAGTGCCAAGCAGAACTTCACCACAGTGCGGTGAGTAGTCCCAGTTAAACACACGGGATTGTGCAGACATACACGTGCATGTGCTGGGGAACCTTCTAGAATCATGCTTCTGAGGGAGCTCTCAACACACTTCACTTTTCTTACCTCCTGGAGCGATGTAGAAACAGTTGAGTTGAGCTTCATGTATCACCTTGCCCTGGAACTTCCTCTCTGATTCCTCAGACAGGTGACTTGAAAGCAGCTGGTACGGAGGGGTGGACGGCTGAACAAAGGCTCGGATCATTGTCACTTCCAGTTGGGTGCTAACAGCTAATTTCACAACTAAACAATTATCCCACTTGTAATTTTCCCTTGTGCTTTGTAAAAAATCAGAACCAATTTCTGTGGCCACCTTCGAGGGCCGTAAAAACCCATGTGACCCTAGCGCTATACTGTGAATTCAGGCTGTTACTTCTAGGTTAGAACTCTGAAAGCACGCCTCCTTTCGCGGCTCTTCTCTGCCGCATCATTTTGCCTTTGCTGTTGCGTTCAGACCTGTGCAGAGTCAAGCCCTTCCCCAGTGGAGCCCTTGAATGGAAATGTGAAGCAAATGGCTTCTGTCAGCCTGTCAGCTCATCACCTCCTGAAGGCCTGATGAGTCCTGGTCTTTGTATATCACCACGAGCTGTCTGGCACAGCCTCTTGTGTGGAAGGGTGATAGGCCTGGTGGGGGTGGAGGCCTGGACCCACAACACGGAGAACTTGAGCGGAATGTGCACTTCCATGGATTCACGATGCCGCTGAGCTGCAAAACTATTTTAAGGAGAAGAAAGCACAGGGCCAGTCCTCTATCTTGGTGCTCCTTTTAGTAGTCAGGAATGCTGGGAAATTTGTGTTTTATCTTCCCTTCCCCTTGCCTATTTAAACCTGTGTTCAAGCTAAATGTTAACTGGGTAAAGAGAGTTGTTTGAAATGATCCTATTTGAATGTTAAAAACCATTTTGCCTTCTAAATAAATCTCCATAAGATACTAAATGACAAACCCAGTATTTCCTTCATTCTGCTTTAACATCGGAGGGTTTTCTGTTGTTTTTCTTCCCGAAACCTGTTTGCATCTTGTGGTAATGAAGATGTCAGAGGCTCTTGTTCATGCCAACAGTTTCTTTGGCATCCTGCCCTTATGGAACTGTAGTTCTGTATGTCAAATGTCACACAGGAGGAGGAATGGTCCCTAGAATGCTCATTAGTATAGTTTAATGGTAAGATACCTTCTCTACCACTGGGCTTTAGTTTCTGGATGCACTGTGGGTTCCTGACTTACCATTTTGGAAAACTTAATCTCCAAAAAAGGAAAGATTTCACTGTGGTCAAAGCATTCAAACAGTCCATAGCACCTATTGTAATTGAAACAAAGAAGTCAGGCTCATGGAGCTGAGTGCGAGTGATCTATGTAGTTTCCTCACAGGCTGAGTGCTAGTGATCCATGTAGATTCCTCATGGGCTGAGTGCTAGTGATCCATGTAGATTCCTCATGGGCTGAGTTCTAGTGATCTGTGTAGATTCCTATGGGCTGAGTGCTAGTGATCCGTGTAGAGTCCTCACAGGCTGAGTGCTAGCCATCCAGCCTGACCTTACAAGAATAAAAGGACAGGAGTCTAGGGAGTCTGAGTGGAGAGTGACTTCTGGTAGATGGAAAGTAACCTTAAAACCCGGTTTCCAGAAACACATTTAATCTTGATGCAAAGATCTTATTTTGGTGAGAACACAACCATAGCACACGGATTGGAGAATGCTGGTGTTGTCATATTTCTTAGATTTGTCATAGTACTGCAGACGGATATGTGTGTGTGTTTCTATCTCAGATTGTAACCTGGTTGAAAAAGCCTGGGGCTTCATCTCCCTTTGCCCCTACCATATGTAGTTGTCTGAGGTAAAGGTTCTGCATACATGGGCTGGAGAGAGGACTCAAGGATAAGAGCATTTTCTGCTTTTCCAGGGACCAGATTTGGTTCCCATCACCCACATCTGGAAGCTCAGCTACCTCAATTCCAGTTCCAACAGATCTGACACCCTTTCTGCCCTGTATACACACACACACACACACACACACACACACACACACACACACACACTGCAATAAATCTTTTTTTAAATATCCTGCATGTACTTGATCAGTACAAAAATGAAGTTTCAAGTCTCAGTGATGACTTTTGGCAAGTTGGTGATCTGGATTCATAAAGCCTCTTTTTGATACCTGCTTAAAATAGCATTAAAAAGACATTTCCTGTGCCTTTAGATATTTATATCAGTGCTGTCCTGAGGTGGAAAGTTCCCTTCTGGGCACTGATGAGATGAATGAGCAGAAAAGAGTGTTCTTAGACTACCATAACTATCCTTATACAAAATAATTAAATGCTTTGAAAGTTTAAATGTTTTGTTTGCCTTTCAAATACTTTTCGCTAATTTTCAATGCTCTATCATAATAATACTGCTGTTTTCAATAAAGTTGTTTTAATGTCCATGTAGTCCATGTATTATTTATATGATTATTTGCATATAAGACCAGGACCTCAACTAGATATTTCCAAGTATATCCTGCAATTGTTTTAGCATTCACTACAAAAGTTATGGAGCTAGATATATGCTAAATTTAATAGACAACTTATTTGAAAAATTATTAAATGAATCAATCACAACTATACTACATTTCTGTTCATTGCTAAATGGTTATATAAGTCATACCTAACCTTCCAACATTTGTAAATTTCCTGTATGGACATTTTAGACTAAATTTATTTTTAAAATATATTTTTTTCTAGTTCTGAATTCTAATAACTCACTGCCAATTTTTCAGTTAACATATCCTTTGGAGATGGAGAGGGAAGGAGGTTTCTAGGCATAATTTGAGCATCAGGTTTCTGAATATTTAAAAATAAAGATGAAATGTGTTTTTGAAATGTGCAAATGGCATATAGAAACAATGAAGTCTCAAAGCCAAGAAGTTTAGAAATCCTCATCTCGTTTTCAGTCTGTAGCCACTTGTGTAAGAAGCATTTACCAACTGCCTGTTGAGCTGGAGACTGCTCTTCTAAAGGAAGCAGACCTCGAAGCAGACCTCGGTGTGCACAGACTCGTCAGCACTTCCAGCATAGATGCCTCTCTTTGACATGTAGCTCCAATGGCTGGTTTCATTTATTTAATCATTAATTGAATGAATTCCTTCCATAACTAATTATTACATATTTTCCTCTCAGACAAAAAGGGGGTTTCTTTCACTGTGTGACTTTGAAGATGCTTATGGCTTGTTCGATGTGTTTTTTCCCAGTGTCCATTTATGGAATTTGGTTTTATGATAAGGAAGAGTGCCAAAGAATTGCAAGACTGATGAAAAAGTAAGTAGAAAAGGGCCAAGTGTTTCCCAGTGCCCAGCGCTTTGACTCAGATTTCTAAGTGTGTGAAGCAACACTGACTGTACCAGGAATTGTTTCTCAGCCGTCATCTTCAACATGATGCGAAAACAGTGGACACTGCTTACTAAATGCAAAGGGAGTAAGAAACGGCTCGCTGTGCTTTCTCCAGGTCCATAGTCGAATACTGTGCCTTGTTGTTCTGCCTGCCTCGTGCTGTGAGTGGTTCAAGTCCATGCGGAGGCTTTCTTTGGTGTTTTCTTCATTTGTAAATAAGTAGTATTTTCTCTAGATATGTCCATCAGTTAAAAAAAAAATGCAGAGTCATCCTGAAAGGCTACCCCAGACCTGGGAAAGTCAGAGTCCTTGTTAGTTTAGCTATCCGTGCACAATCCCCCCCCCCCCTCTCTCTCTCTCTCTCCTCGCTTTCTCACATGCTGGTTCTGAACCTGCCTCTGCATTGCTATCAGACTTTCCTACTCTTGGCTTCCCTGGTTTTCACCAAAAGGAGGTCCAGGTGAGATTGGTGGACTGACCAGTTATGAACTTGGTTGCTCAGTTTTGCTGCTGTTTATGCAAATGGCCAAGAGCCTCAGAATGAAGTGAGTTTATGAAGCTGGGTCTCTGCCTAGGCTAGCTGATTCCCCACATGGATGAGAATCTGCAAACAGCCAGTGTTCAGTTCTAAATCCAGGGGCACTGAGATGAAACAGGGACCCCCCCCCCCAGGAAATGAAAACCAGGGAACATATTTTTATAAATAAAGCTGACTCCTGAAATTCTCACTTGTGAAAGCTAATTTTAGGCAACCAGCTCAAGTCACAGATGGTGATTAAGTGTGTTCAAACTGGTATTTACCACCATAACAACTAGTTCCCTAAACATTTTGTAAATTGTTCAACGGATAATAATAGCAGGATTTCATATGGATTAAAAAATACCCTGTCGCTCAACCAAGAGGTCATGGTAAAGTTGGTGGCATTCTGCGGTGACTGCCTAATAGCTCAGGCAGGAAAATGAGTGATTATTACTAGCAATGAACAGTTGATTTGTGTGGATTCAGATCCCTTCTCTAGTTAGAATAAAATCTCTTGGTGACTTCACCAGTCTTACTTTACCATTAGCTTCGTGGCTTTAACAGAAGAACTGGAGCTGAAAGTCAAAGCAAACAAAGGGATTTCCTGATGTTTCCCTGCAGCACCTAAGACCATGTGGTCAGTATTAGGATAGGACCTCTGTGGTACCTCCAAATTGCCAGAGAACTGCAAGATCTGAGGTGGTCCAGTCCACCTTGCCGGTCATCCCTATTGAATGTTTGTCTTTGTACAGTTTCCTCCATGTTCAGCGAGTTCTGCCACTACAATGTAAAAGCATCTGTGATTGATGTTAGGTTTTCTCTTTACAAAAACAGGTGGGGCAGGCTGTCACCCACACTCATAGCTTGCTGGCTCCCACCCTGCATTTGCATATGTGGCCAGCTGGCTCAAGACCTCATCTCTCATTTTCTGTTTCAGATGTCCGAGCATCTTTCTAAGATGTTCAACTGGGATGAAAGCACTTGGGAGAGGACTGCGGAGATAGCATTGGTTTTGACACTCGCTTCCTGATACTCACCTCCCTTGTTTCTCTAGCCTCACCCAGTGTGAACAGTTGAAAGCCTGTCATGGATCTGGAGCAGAATTCTCCCCAGGGACCCTGAGTTCGGAAGAGGGCAGAGGAGTGGATATCTTACAGATGCTCACCAAGGCCAAAGATGAGTACACTAAGGTGAGTCTCTGTTCTTCCTTATGATCATACTTACCCACAGTGACAACTGGTACCCATTTAGGAAAGTACAGAATCCAAACTGTGCCTCAAGCTACATCCCAGGGTAAATCTCAAATATGTTAGAAAATTCAGATTTCAAAACTTACTTGTAATCTAGGAAAAAAGAATTCTTCTTAACTATGACTTAAAACTCAAAACCAATTAATTTCAACTATATAAAAAATTAACATTTTTTTATATTTAAAAAATACATAAAAATAACAAAACTAAACCAAAAGCCGGCCAGTAGTGACACATGCCTTTAATCCCAGCACTTGGGAGACAGAGGCAAGTAATGTCTCTGAGTTCAAGGCCAGTCTAATCTACAAAGTGAGCTATAGAACAGCCAGAGCTGTTATATAAAGAAACCCTGTCTCCCAAACCAAAACAAACAAACAAACAACATGAAATGTAACAACTGAGAGAAAATATTCACACCTAAAAACTAGGCGTCCCCTAGAAATTGAAATATAAAAGATTAATATTCTAAAAAAAAGATTAGTATTCTCTAGAAAAATGGGCAAAATAAAATAAAGAAAAAATAATTTAGGAAAATCATGACTTCAAGCCAAAATGTTTGAACTGAAAAGTCTTGGTAGATTATACTTTAAAGGTGAAAAGAACTACAAATTAGAAACTTAGTTCAGTGGTCTTATTATTAATAGGAATATTGGCCTTATAATTTTTAGCTGTTACAGATACAATAAATGAGAAATTACATTAATGTATCTGGAACCAAATCTTGATATAAGAGAAGAAAATCAAACAAAGTTAAAGTTGCATCTTAAGTAATAAGTGGAGACATCAAAATTAGGGTTTTTTTGTTTGTTTTTGTTTTTTAACTATGGAAACAAAACTGCAAGCTCCTGGCTCCCTGAAAAGACTCATAAATGATTGACAGCCCTAAAAAGTGTCGGAGCCCGCTGGGCGTTGGTGGCGCACGCCTTTAATCCCAGCACTCGGGAGGCAGAGGCAGGCGGATCTCTGTGAGTTCGAGGCCAGGCTGGACCAACAGCCTCCAAAACAATACAGAGAAACCCTGTCTCGTAAAACCGAAAAAAGAAGTGTGGGAGCCCTTTGAAGAAGTTCCTGATTATGGGGCAAATGGGTACTGAGTACTGAACATGTAATCATGTATAATGATTTGTGGATAATGGTGATGAGTGGGAGAGACAGCATGAACCAAATTCAACCAAAACAAAACTATTACTGTCTTTCCTTGGAGAGTACTCAGACACCAGTACCTGCCTCTGACACTGATATTAGAGCATGCATGCATGTGTATGAATGCACGAGCTCACACATGTGCATGTGTGTATACAGTCACAAACAGGCCACAGTTCACATGTGGAGGTCAGAGGGCAGCTTTGGGAAGTCAGTTCCCCCTTTCTGTCATGTAGGCTGTGGGTTCTAGGAACACACAGGTCTTTAAGGTCGAGGAATTAAACTCAGGTTCCAGGCCCCTTTTTCTTACCAGCCGTCTCTTAGGCCTCACACTGGTAACATTCTGTCTACAATCGTGTTATGTGAACTCTCAGACTCTTCAGACTTCCCATAACATGGTCTTCGTGGTATTCTGTAAGCATGTGAAACTGATGTCTACTTCCTAAAGTGCCTTCCTGCCTCTCCTCCCCTTCCCCACCTGGCCAAACAAGATCGGACTTTCCAGGTCCATTTCAAGACTGCCTGTCAGGTGAGTAGAGCCCAGCCTCCCCAGCTGGATGCACTGATTCCCCTGTTAGCGTCAGTATGTTACAGATGCCTTCTCCCGTCTGTGCTGACCCCTCACATACACATGCAGGCCTTTTAGACATACAGACAATGTAGGCCATCAGTACAATGGGCCTGGCATTAGGAAGTGGGGAATGAACAAGTAAGAAAGAACACCAGGCTTTTTCCCCCAGAATTCTTCCTGGGAAGTGTATCTCCATTTTTGGACATATTTAAGAAGATATAGTGGAGATGTTATGAAAGAATTTCATGTCTCTTGATAAGGATTAAATGAAAACTTCTTAATTCCTTCTATCTCTATGGCTTTTTTCCTTTTTGAAAATTGAATATCGTGTGTGTGTGTGTGTGTGTGTGTGTGTGTGTGTGTGTGTGAGAGAGAGAGAGAGAGAGAGAGAGAGATTTTATTTATTCATCAATCTGTTGTCACACATTTAACTGATCCATGTCTTGACTGTTATAAATGGTGCTGCAAGGAACATGGAAGTAAGGATATCTCTTAGGCATTATAGTTTCATACTCTTTAGTTGTGTGCCCAGAAGTGGGACTGGTAGATCTTGGTTGTGGTTACATTTTTTGGTGGGTTTTTGTTTGTTTGTTGTTTTTCCTTTTTTTTTTTTTTTAACTTTGGTACTATGTTCTACACAGCTTGCCAGCAATACTGTACCTGGATTCCCTTTGCTACACCAACACTTCATTATCTTTTGACTTTTTAAAAATTATTTTTATTTTATGTGTATGCACCATGTATGTGCCTGGTGCTCATGGAAGTAAGTCAAAGGAGGGCATCAGATCTCCTGGAACTAGAGTTATGGATGGTTGTAAGTGCTAGGAACCAAACCTGTGACCTCTGGGAGAGCAACAAGTGCTTTTAACCTCTGAGCCATCTCCCCAGCCCCTCTTTTGCCTTGTAGAGCTTGCACATTCTATCTGGAGTGATATGAGGTCTCATGGTAACTTTGATTAGCATTTCCCTGTGATTAGGGTTGTCATCTTGAGTCCAGACTGGGCTGTGTAGTGAGAACCTGTCTAAAAAAGAATAGGGAAAAAATATCTAAGGAGTGATGTATAATGGGAGGCAAAACTACCTCAAGGCATAGGGAAGGTGGGGGATTGTCAGTTTTCTTTGTTTAAACGAGAGTCATCCTGTAGAATTAACACCACCTCCTTGTAAGTGGCAAGAGGGACTGACTACAACTCCTCTAGCCATCGCTTTATAAGTCAGGCTCTTCTGTGGCCTTGCCTTGCCTGCCCTGCTCTAAGGAAGATAGCAGTCGACCCATGCAGTGACACCACCCATTAGGGTCACTCACTTGAGACCAGTGCAAAATTAACATTTATGACTAAAAAACAATTCCATACTCGATTCAGTACTAATGCCTAATGACCAAAGAATTGACAGAACTCTTGGAAAATGTAGTTAGACTTTTGTGTGGTTGGTCTAAAAGACAGGTGCACACAGTGACAACCAACCCTAGGCCCATGTGCTAGAATAAGAGAATATGCCCCAATAGCTGGGAAACCCATTGAGAACTGTGGGGCTCCGGAGATGGTGCCTGTCACTCGTGCCTTGTCAGATGTGGTGACTGTTTTCAGGCATGAGGCATTGGCTGGGCTGCTGAAGCAAATGCTCACATGGAAGGGCCTGTTATATTGTTTTATCTAATGTTTTAACAAAATAAACTGCATTATAATTGCCAGGCACTTTTGTTATGAATCCTACTGTTAGCGATTGCACGGTTGGTTAGATTAACAGGTGATAATGAGTCAGTATTTGAAATGATGGGGCTTGTCTCGTCTGTTTATGAAATTCTAATTTGGAATGAGTGGCTCAGAACACTTCATTTAAATTATTCTGTTTATGTAAGAAGTCATCTATTAATAAAAATGGTGTTAGCAATTTTTAAATCAGTGGTTTGAGACAGCATTACTTTTTAGTTTGTGGACCAAACAGGTTTAGATGCTTGGGTTAAATATTTTTAGTAGCTCCCAGTACTCTATATTATTTGTGTGGTGGCTTACCATTGGAACTTATTAGACTGGTTGTTTTAAACTGTTTCTTCTTAAACAAATGGATACAACTATCCAAGAGCATGTGGGTCCTTGGGGTTAACTGGGATTAGGTGGTAATATTTTAGGGCACTGTGTTACACACATTAAAAAAAAATAAATTGTGGTTGACTTCTACCCAAATGCAGTTCCCATCAGAAAAGCAGAAGAGATTATCCTTCATGCATGAACACTTACTTAAAGAATAGCCATCTACCAATTAGATAAGCAAGAAAGGGTGCAAAAACACTCACACTTTTTTTATTTCCATCAAAAAGGAAGTATTTGGGTTTTTTTTCCATTCCAGTGTAAGACCTGTTCTGAGCCAAAACAGATAACCAGTTCTTCTGCCATTTGTGACAACCCTAAGCTTATCAAACCTGTCCCCGTGAGACCCAGTGGTAGCCAGAGGCTACAAGAAACCCCACCCAACAAGGTATGTGTCTTCTGTTTTTTTGTTTTGTTTTGTTTTAAACATATTTTTCAATGTTTGGAATTAAAATGTAATTATAATGTTTCCCCCTTTCCTCCCTCCAACCCTTCCCTTGTAAATTCCCTTTACCTTCTCTCAAATTAATGGCCTCTATTTCTTTAATTCCTAAATATATAAATACAACCTGTTTGGTCCAGGTTGTTAGTCATGTATATGTGTACAATGTTACTCGTATGTACATGTTGCTAGTGCTCACCATTTGGTGTTGGATAGCCAGTTAGTGTGCTCTTTCCTGGGGATGACAGATTCTCCCGCTGTCAGCCTTCCTTAACTGACGGTAGTGGTTTGTCTAGGACTGAGGCCCCATGAGATCATTCCTTCCAGGTCAGCATGCCTCCAGTTGGTATCATGCTTTGTAGTCACAATAGCTAGGAAACAGAAGCATCCTAATGTCCTTCAACTCATGGATGGATAATCAAAGTGTGGTGTGTATATGCTATGGAATACTGTTTGACTGTAAAGAAAACTGAAATCATGAAAATTATAGGTAAATGTGTAAAACTAGAAAAGATAATATTGAGGTGTGGTAACCCAGACTCAGAAACACAAATGTCATATGTTCTCTCTCATCGGAGGCTGCTGGCTCCAGATCTCCCAATCTGAGTATATAACCTGGAGTAACTATAGAAATTGGAGAAATTCTCTGCTTTTATCTGTGGCCTCTCTGGGATTCTCAAAGAGCTTTACCCACATACTGCAGGGGAGGGTCTAGCACTCCTGAAGGACACGGAAGATCAGTGGAGAAAGGCAGGGTCTTGTTGCACTGCGCATGAACTATGCAGCACTGTGCCCTTCCTTGGGGACTGTTGAATTACCTCGTGCTGGGCTCGTGGCTCGTGAGCTGAGACTCGTTAAAATATCATATGTTGTTAAAACAATAAGTGTCAGGCGAGACAGAAGCATAAGCCTTTGGGTCTGTATTCTTGTGGGATAGGTGGCTTCCCAGGACACTGGAGGAGCAGTCACCATGGCAGCACAATAAAATGTAATATTTCTGAACATCTCCCTGTACTAAGAGCAGTGCCAGGCACTGGGTGTGCAGCATGGAGTCCCTGCTGTAGATTAGCTCTGGGCCAGAGACTGGTCAAAGCCCCACAGGCCTGTGGCGGTGAGTGTGTCGTGTGCTGTTCAGAACAGGACAGCAGAGATAAAATTTGCTAATTAGCAAGACCCATTGTTGATTGCAAGGAAACATGTCTGTTCCGTCATAGTTATTATTCCTAAGTAAAGAGGTGACTTTCAAGGAATTAGTTTAAATCAGTTCTGAAAGTGAGCATGAGCCAAAGACATAAAATGACTTGACTAATGAAAGTCTTGTTTTGAATTTTTCAAAAGCAGAAGTGTTTTCTAACTTATTTTAGCTTTTCGTGCTTTGCATGAGAATCTACTTCATTTCAGTAGATAAACCAAGACACATTGACGTTAGAATAGAACTTATGTTTTCAAGAAGAGGTGGAGAAGGAGGGCTGTCTCAGGGGCAGGGAGGGCCACGGTATCGTCTACACCTGGTCTTTGCGTGTCAGATTAAAATACTTCTTTCTTTCTAGCCTTGGTCTCTATAATGCTGTGAAAGTGCCAGCAACCTGGAGCTCTTACATCCTGCTTATTTCCAGTACATTTTGTTCTCAGCAACCCTAGCTGGACCCTGGCTGTAGAGATGGGTTACCATGAAGTATGGGCAATCTTATACTATAGAGTATAATTTTGTCCCCTAATCTGTGAGCTGCAGACCCCTCAAGATCACATTCCTGTCTTATGAAACGACCAGATACTGTGGTCTAACAACAGCCTCGGGGCCAGAGAGGGGAGAATGCTGTAAAGATGCCAGACATTCCAGAGGTGTCGGACTTAATAAATTTCACCTCTGTCATTGATCCTTTCTAAATAGAGGAAACCAACAGTTAGCTGAGTTATATTTCACAGCCTCTCCCTCCCATAACCAAACTATGTGAACCTATTTTTGGATATCTTTTTCTATCCCCAGACCTCGGACCCTGAGCCCCAACACTTGTCTTTGACAGCTCTATTTGGGAAACAAGACAAAGCACCGTGTCATGAAACTATGAAACCCTCTGGGACATTCACCCACCACCACCACCATCACCACCACCACCACCACCACCACCAGCAAGAGCAGCTTCCCATTCATCAAGGAGTTGCATGCCCCCTGTCCTATGAGAATCCCAGAAGGCTCTTACTCCCCGTGGAGAAGCAACTATGTCCAGCCATTCAGAAACTCATGGTTAGGAGCACAGGACTGCACCCGCTGCCACAGCATCCTCAACAGTGGCCCTGTGAAAGTGGCAGCCCCGGGCATGCAAGGGGAGTTCTCCCTGGTCCTGTCCACCTGGGGTCACCCTGGAACGGTGGGACTGCACACTGTGCACAGAGCACTTGCAGAAGCCGCCAGCTGCTAGAGCAGCTTCAAGGTGCTTCTAGGTCAGCACATAAGGATAAGCCCTGTGCACCTGCCAGTCCGGCTGCGGCCACTCAGGTGGCTCCGTGCCAAAGTGTGGCGCACTCACAGCTGGTGTATTTCAGTGGCCCCCTTCCTCCTCCCACACCAGGACATCAGGCTCTCAGGAAGGAGCAGTGTGCACTGCCAGCGCAAGCGCTGTCCCTGTCTGGCCACCAGGAGAGCGGCCCCAGTGTGCTCCCTACTCAGGAGCTGCTGAGAAAGCTCCAGGTAGTACATCAGGGGCAGCAGCCACAGGTGGCCCCCCAGCCAGCCCTGGCAGCCAGGTTCCCCGTGTCAGCCCCTGGCTCGGGGACAGAAAAGCCCTTGGAAGCCTGGGCCAACAAGACAGCCAGCATGGAGAAACAGGCTCCTCTTCCTCAGGTAAATATGTACTGGGAGACCGCTGCTAGAGTAATGCAACGGCATTGGCTGTGCTACAGGGAACAGGTGTCATGCGGATTCCATTTAGAACAGCGACCCAAACCCCTCAGCGTGGCTCTTTGTCTTTCTCCTTGACTTTCTGCCTGGAAAGAGCGGCTCCTGTCTGCTTACAGTCTGATGTCCTCTGCCATTTAGAGGTGGTTTGTAAAGTTAAATCTTTACCATGTCCTAAGGCCGGAAGGCCAGCCCAGATGTGGAAAAACACTAGTCTTTGACTATGAAGCCCATGGCAGTTGGCGCTAATGTTTTGAGATGGACACATCTGGCAGATTCTTGGCTTTCATCCTATGGTTGATTATTGCTTGCTGGTTGGCTCCACGCATGACTTTGAGTGCTTCCTACATGTTAGTAGCCACTTTGCTACACAGTTGTGGAGAAAGTGGACTCCGCATCTCACAGCCAACAACCTTGTAGGTTCCTAGGTAAACAGACACAGCAGTAAAGATGCTGCTGTTTTCATTGCCTTCTAGGTGATCGGAGTTGTGAAGATCCAGCAGAAACAAGTGTACCACCCACAAACTGCCAGCGCAGGGAACAGAGTGTCAGTTCTAGAAATAGCAGATCTTTCTGGAAGGATAGGTGTCTGTACCCATCAGCAACTGGGACGTCAGAAGCCAGGGTCTATTGGTTGTTTGCCTGTAGTGGCATCTGAAGGTCTGATCAGCTCTGTTTCCTTTGGATTGGCACAGAGTTCCTGAAAACGTGCTTACTTTAAAGATTGGAAAGTTACCCCTACTTATTTTATACATGTATCATAACACTGTTGGTCTTTTTGACATGTTTTATCTCATAGTAGCTCCTCAGAAATTGTTCACACTTTTAAAACAAAGGCCCAGGGCACAAACCGTGATGTTTAGGTGTGTGGACCAAGTCAAGGTGTTTGTTTTTATTAAATCACAGATGCAGGTGCTTCCTGTTGCAAACAGAAGCTTTGTTCTCACACTGCAGTGCAGAGTACTGGCCCCGTTTTAAATGTCTGCTTTCATTTCTCTTTGATGGTTTAGAGTAAGAAAACCAGGGCTAATAACCAGACTTAGATCTCTGCATATACGATTCTCTTTGTTTTTAGTTCTCACAAATGTCAAGAACCAAATAAGGAACGTGTAGATTCCGTCAGCCCACGCTGTGCTCTCCCATGGCGCTGTGACTCCTCCCTTTGGGAACATCAGCCCTCAAGTCCTCTCTTTGGGCTGGCAAATAGGGAAAGCTAAACGAAACAAGAGCCTGTCTTCCTCTAGGCCATTTTCTGCCCCCAAAAATGCCAAGCGAGTGATGATAAAATTACAGCCATGTCTAAACTGCTGCCTCTCTGCTTCCTTCTCGTGAGTGTTGGAGCGCTCTGAGGCTAAGAAGTAAGGTAGGAGTCAGTCAGACCCGGTTCAGAATGTCACTTGCATAATTGGGAAAGCCATTTGAAAACTTGGTTTTAGACCTGCCAGCCAAGGGAATTAGATAGACTCGGCAGACAGATGGGTCATGGCGCTCCAGGCTCCTTGTGTCCAGTCTTTGCTCTTCATCCCATTATCTGTCCCCTCATCCTCATGCTCACCCTGTCCCCACCCCCACACCAGCCAGGAGAAGCAGAAGGCATGCTCTCTATAGATAAACAAAGGACCAGCGGGGGCAAACCCACAAATAACAGCACCTCCTAGTCACAGGGGAGGTGTCTCCTTGAAGAGCCAGGGTTGGGAGCCGTGTGTATCTGGTGCGCATGTCCTGCCACTGCTACCAGTGATAGGACCTCAGGGCAGGGCAGTGAACAGCTAGTGCTGAGGAATCCAGCAATCTGAATGCATGTTGCCTGAAAACTAAACTCACCAGGGGTCTAGCTTCATACACAGAGGCCATGGCATCACAGGTGGTTCCAGAGCTGCGTAGTCGTCCCCGAGGGTGGAACAGGAACAGACCTGTCAGCCACTCCCACCCATGGGGCCTGGGTGATTCCCACTGAGCCCCTCTACCACCGTTGTGAACAGGGCCTTGCACTCTGGAGCTCCGGGGTATCGTTTCCCAGCCCTGCCGTGTGTGCGTGCGTGTCTTTGCTGTGAGCCGATCACACATGTGTGTGTCCCTGCACCAGTGCTCTCCTCTGATGCCCCCTGTGGTTTTCACACAGTTCACCTGTGCCCCACTGAGGGAGACTGATAGTGGACTCATGCCCCTAGAAGGCCAAGAACTTGCTGCTGCCTCCTCCAGCCTCCTTCTGCCCCTGCAGAACTGGGAATCCGCCACTGTGGCCAGCAAGCCCCTCACCAGGCTGCAGCTCCAGGAAGCACTGCTGCACCTCATCCAGGTAAGATTATGACCTACCAGTGGGCACCATGGCAGACTATATTTGCTGATGCCTTCTTTGGATGCCTTTAGAGTGACCCCCACACACACACACCTCCAATAGCTTCTAAATACAGGTAGCTGGGTGATATTTAGAATACTACTGTGGCCTGAGATGTCTCAAGCCTTCAAGAGATTTGTGACTTAGAGGAATTAGTAAGGCCTCCTGGCTGCCTGCTGCAGGAAAGGGAGCATGTGATGGTTGGCCAGCCAGGGTACTCTGAGAGCTCACTGTTGGGAGCAGTCACAGAGCCAGCCATCTTGGGCAAGCTACAGTTGTAAGCCGCACCAGCTATGGCTGCTGTGAACACAGTTCAGCTACGGTTTTGAAACCTACTGCTCAGGAGAGGGTGGAATGATAGGACACATTGTCAGCCCTGCCTTGGGTGTCTTGGCTGTACTGTGGTAGTAGCTCCTACTGTACAGTGTGCCATGCACTGTTTACTAATTCATTCAGTGCCTATAGGAAAGCCTATTAATATGGGCCAATGAGATCAGGTAAAGGGGCTTGCCACCAAGCTTGATGCCCCACATGACGGAAGAATAGAGAATGTTGTCTTCTGACCACATGTGTGTTGTGGCATATCCACACCTACACACATATCTCCACACACACGTGTGTACACACACACACACACACACACACACACACACACACACACACACACAATAAGTATAAAAACATTTAGACCTGTTGGTCTGGTGTTACACTGAGCCTGGCTACAGTGTTCACGTCTCCTCTTTTGTGGACCATGGAAATTAATGTGCCAAGACTAGACCAGCATGTATCGGAGCACACCCCCAAGTGAGTGATAGGTCCAGGAAAGGGTAATGCTTGAAACCACACAGAAGCAGACCTCCACTAATGTGTTCAGGAATCTTCTTGAAAGTGTTTGTAGTGCTCTGCTCCTCTCCAGACCCAGCAGCAGAACAGGCCAGCCTCTGTGGTTGTCTGGTTCTCCTGTTCATGTCTAATCCCTGTTAGTGAAAATATTTCTAAGATAGCATGTCTTAGAACGAAAAGGATGGGACTGGCAGCAAGCCTCTGAATGGCGTCCAGGATGATGGAGCCTTCCTGTTTCAATTCTGTCACTAAACTAAATACGCAGCATGATAGAAATATAGCCCACCTGTTCACAATGAGTCTGAGAATTTAGAACAAATACCTGCACATTTATTTACCAAAACAATGAGGAAAAAAATAACATAAGTTTAGATTTTAAAGATTCTTGCGGCCGGGCGTTGGTGGCGCACTCCTTTAACCCCAGCACTCTGTGAGTTCGAGGCTAGCCTGATCTACAAGCATGAGTTCCAGGACAGCCTCCAAAGCCACAGAGAAACCCTGTCTCGAAAGACAAACAAACAAACAAATAAATAAATAAATAAAGATTCTTGCTTTCTTTGGTTCATTCCAGTCTAATCACATCACCCTAACCTTGTATGTTGTGACTTAGATGGTTCACACCTCTGCGTGTTATGGATTTTGCCTTCTTGATACTTGCTAAAAGTCACTTGGGCGTCTTTGTAGGAAAAACAGAAAATAACATCTCTTTCTTGGTGGCGTGAGAATGATGCTAACTGTGGTATGGGGTGGAAGTAAATCGGGAAGGGTGAAATGTAGTGACTGCAGAAACTGTGTTGGATTTGAATGGGAAGGGAATGCCTCTAGCATTAATCAAGAGAACCATTGCTTAGACCCAGAGTTCTCTCCCCATCTTGTGAGACAGAGTCTCAGAGACTACCTATCTGCAGCTGTACATTTGCCAAAGCCAGAGACTTCCTACAAGTCATGGGAACAACCGTGCTGCCTTTGGGAAGGTACCAATAAGCCATGCTGTGGGTAAAATCCCAATTAATGTCCCAAACAATGCAGACATTGTGGGCAACCTGGAGGATTTTTAGGAAGGACCAGCCAACTTCTAGGCTGTTGCCCAGGCCCTGTGACTCATTCCTCTGGGCCCATCCCGCACACAGCACAGCTGGCTTCCGCGTGGCGGGGTTGCTATCTGTGTTGGATGCTATGAGCACATGGACTTCACATACAGACTGTAAAATCCAGCAGCCCCAGCCCCTTTACATCCATGCACACAGGCCAACCCTGCTGTCAGCACAAACAGCAAAGTTAAGGCACCGAACCCAAGGTCAGTTCAGCTCCAGGCAGGAAGTCTTGACTTCTGCTACTCAAGTGACGGTCCCCTGGGCCTGTTGGCTTTGTTTTCCAGAATGACGACAGCTTCTTAAGCATAATCTATGAAGCCTATCTCTTCAGTGTGACACAAGCAGCCATGAGAAAAGCCACTTAACCAACTACGGGAGAACAAAGACTGAGAATTTGTTTTCTAGGCCCTTCCTGTGAACTGTGTGACCAAACACATTTCTGCCTTTTTAACAAAATATAGTAATGCAAAGTTAAATGGTTTTGTACTATCGAATATCTTGGGGTTTTTTGTTCTTGTTTTTGAAGAATCAAATCCTCCTGTATACTAATTGAGTGCATAGATTGTTTAGGTTCAGGTCACATAAGATTAATTTTTCCTACATTTATAAGGCCTTTTTAAGAACTGGACTCTTCGTAGGAGGGGATGTTCTCAGAGCTGTTTATTAATAGCTCAAGCTAAAGAGAGCAATTTCCTAGTGTTGGCTCTGTGTGCCATGGTGCTTGATAACCACCAGGGGGCAATGTTACCCCACAAGTTACCTACTAAGGGTTTCCTGAGCTCTTGGAAGCAATGATGACTTTGTTAACAAAGTCAGACTTTCATTTGTAAAGCTCCATTTGGCATGTTTGATCTAAGCCTTTGGAGAGAATATCTTTCTGAAGGTATTTCTAGCCAGGTGTCAACAGTGGCCCAAGGCTTGAGGCAATACTAACATTTCCCAATTCAGGCTACTTCTTGGGACACAAAAAGTAGGATCGGCCTGCTCTTGGTTCCAGCAGACACTCACATTTAGAAAATGTGCTGAAGGGGAGGTAGCATGAGACTAGGTAGGGGCTGTGCAGGGGCAGAAGATTCTCCAGGCTGTAGCAGTCCTGTTGCCGGGTCATGTGCAAAGAGACCAGGAGCATAATCCTAGAGGGAGGCAGGAGAGCCTTGCTGTCCCTAAAGGGCACATGTGGACATTGGCCCTGCTGCGTCTGCACAAAGAATAAAGCTTCGTGATTTTAGCGTCTTAGTAATTCCTGAATCATAAAAGGGTCTTTGGCCTAGAGCTTCCTAGAAGAATCTTATTCTTTTTATGGAGAATTTAAAATGGAGGCCCAGGTGGGGTGGGGTGGGGTGGGGTGTCCTTACAGCTTTGGCTCTGCTCATCCATCCCAGCAGCAGGAGGAGCACGACCTGTCCTGTATGACCGCAGGCATGCTTTGCCCTAAAGAAGAACGGAGGGCTGAAGAGGAACTGAGCTCTGCTGGTCCTCACTGTGCACTGTGCCTTGACCTACATCTACCGTGTCAGCCTCTGGAAGGGATGTCTCCCATATCACCCAACACTTCTATGAGCCGGTATAAGTCTCTCGAATACTCAACAGTAATTATACGCATCTCTGTAGGAGAATGAAGCAAGAGACGTCCATGGTTCTATGGTCCTAAATCAGTAAAAACAGCATCATGTTGGTAACATGTCTACTAAACTTGGAGCAATATTAGGCTGGCAGTGTATCTCTCGGATAGGGCACTTGCCTATATAAGGTTCTGGGTCAAATACCTCACACTTAAAAAAATGTTATTTAGCCAGTTACCAGTCTTTTAAAATGTGGTTTGGTGATAAATAAAATAAAATAATGGAAGACATTTAAAAACTGTATAATTGCATGTTTAAAGATGTTTCTGTAACCAGGGAAAGATGAATTTCATTCCTAGCATTTCTAATATGTTTGTGTCAATGGATAGCCTTGTTTCATGAAATAGCTTCCCTTTCTTCACATGAATAAGTAAAACTGTAGCAGCAGCTGCTGCCAACAGAGCAAACCAGGATGGGAGGTCAGAGGACATGCAGCCTTTTTAGGCCAACGCTACAGTGATCTGTTTTGACAAAATGGCAGGTTCTCCATTGTCCTCTGTAGTAAGCAACAAGTCGATTCCTTTAGACCAAAGATGCCATCTGCAGGACAGTCAGGACAGGTGCTTAGCTCCTTACCTCAGCAGGTGAGAGCTGCTTCTACAGAGCTCTGTGGACACATGGACACAGGAAGGGTCAGAAGGGTTTTCTAGGCACCCAGGACTGAACTTCCTATGTATATTAACATTTCCTCTTCTCATGAGCCTCCTGAACTCATATTCAGCTTCCATTTAAAGGTCTCTGCACCAGCAGCAGTTTGACCTGGAATTTCAGGTAGAACCTGGAGTACTGTGGCCAAAGGCAGCTTCATCCAGGGTGGTGAGTGTCACCTTGCAGAGCCAAGGGACTGGGAGTTGAAGCTGGAGCATGAGTGGAGTCCCTTGCCCCTGCCTTCAGCTCTTGGACAAGTCTCTTACTATGAATTGAGAGACCTCACATAGTCCAGAGGACTAAACTGCTATGGTCCAGGACTGTCTGCCAGCCATTGGGAATGAGCCCCAGCTGCTGGGGTGGGGGGCTTCCAACCAGTGCCCTGACAGTATATGCCTGAAGGGCACCTTGCTATGCCCCCTACTTTATTGATGCAGTGGAAGCAGTCATGCCTCTTTATGAAGGAATTCATGGGCTATGACACTGATGTCACTGTAATCCTGTGCCTGCCCCTGACTTGCAGGTAAAGTTCTATGTTAAGTTCCTGTCATCGTGACAACAGACCTGAGATGAATCCACTCAATGGATAAATGATTTACTCTGGTACAGAGTTTCAAGGGTTTTCGTGTGCGGTCGTCTGGCTCTGTTGATGTAAGATGTTTATGTGAGACAGAGAGCCATGGTGGGACAAAGCTGTTTGCCTTGTGGCAGCTGGGAAGCAAAGAGGAAGAGAAAGGAGGTCTATGGTGACTGGATTTATGTCAACTTGGCACAAACTGGAATCATCGGAGAAGAGGAACCTCAATTGAGAAAATGTCTCCATAAGACAGGGTCATAGGCAAGCCTGTAGAGCACTTTCTTAATTAGTGATTGATGGAGGGAGGCCCAGCACATTGTGGGTGGTACCATCCCTGGGCTGGTGGTTCTGGGTTCTGTAAAGAAGCAGGCTGAGCAAGCCATGTGGAACAAGCCAGTTTTAGTAGCACACCTCCATGGCCTCTGCCTCAGCCCCATGTTCTTGCCCTGCTTGAGTTGCTGTCTTGACTTTCTTCAGTGATGAATTATATGATCTGGAAATGTACACCAAATAAACTGGGTCCTCTCCAGCTTGCTTGTGGTCATGGTGTTTCGTCACAGCAATAGTAACCTTGACTGGAACAGGGTCCCAGTATTCCCTTCAAGGACCTGCCTCCAAAGGCCTCGCTTCCTTTCACACTCCACTACCTCCCAGCAACATCACGTATTGGGGACCAAAGCCTTTAATACAAAGGTCTTTGGGGGACATTTCAAGTCAAAACCACAGCAAGCAGCATTTTACTTGCTAGGTCAGAGAAGGCAGCACTGTTGAGTAGTATGTGTAGGCCCCAAACATTCTGAAGACACGCCACCCCATCTCCCCACTTACACTAGACAAGATGGCCACTGCGGTGGGAGAGAATCTGTGTTTGCATCTTCAGGAGCTGTCTAGCATGACAGATAGCCAACCCTACTGCTACTAGCCACTTGCAACAAGCCGTTTCCAGCGCTTTCAAAAGCTAAGCCTGTAGCTCCAAATAAGACATACCATCACCCCATAAGGCTCAAGGAGCATGTGGAAGAGGGTGTAGAAGTAAGGGCCAAAACATAGAGTAAAAAGCAACAAAACGCCACTGATTGGAATTGATGACTATTGCAGCCATTCAGTCACAGCTGTAGGTGCCCACATTGGCCCACACAAGACTTCCCTATCAACAGGTCAAGGGAGGGGAGGAGCTCATAAGGCCCCACGCTTTGCCTCTGAAATACCAGCTGTGATTGGTAGACTGGGAGAGGGTACCACTTTAGTTATTTTTAGATGTGTACCACGGCTGAGCCCACCAGATTCTAACAGGTATTCCAAATCCATGGGCACACAGATGGCCCTGTGATATCAGTGAGTCACAAAGCAAGACGAATAGACGGGAACACAGATTTGTGGGGGAAAGGTTGACAGGGATGATAGGAAGTGGCAGTAGCATGGCAAGTGTGCATCGCATGCATGTGTGGAATCTTCTAAAAACAAATTAATTCACAAAGAGGAAAATACAGCACACAAAGTACAAAACGTTTGGTGTTAAAAAGAGAGAAAGGTCCAGGACAAGACTGCCCTGAACTGAAGGAGTTCCCTAAAGACACAAGGTGTTGGTTTTCATTCTGCTTTCAGGCCCTGGGACACTGTTTCCTCTGGTACAAATGGGAAACAGAACATCTCTCAAGAAACCCCAGCCCTGAGCGTCTTAGCGTGCCCTGTTCTCAGAGGTGTTAAAGAGAAACCACCAGTTTTGTATGGCAGACCGCTTCCCTGAGCCCCATGTGTGGTGCTAAGGATGGGAAGTGTACATAAAAATGAGCACTGGGCCCCAGACCCTGTTGCCTTCAGCCATGAGCCCGGGTGCAGAGAAGATAAGCCTGACAGAGGTGCTAGGGACCCAGAGAACAGGGTCTCCAGGCCTTGTGGACAAAACCTGCTGCTCACTCCTACTTACAACAAATAACGTCTGCTTCATCTAGACATGGCCTGTTTTCAGAGGAGTCGGTTTGCTTCCCAGCTTTGGAGTATTGAGTCATCGTTAAGGTTAATTTGTCATTTTCAGCCAGCTGGTTGTAGCCATGCTTTGTCATGTGAAGCTGGCTGGCTGCACATATTGGTAAGCCTCTCCAGTGCAGCGCTGAATACTTGACTTGCAGATTGCAAATGCTTGGCACCCCAACCCTCTTACAATTAGGGAGTGAGAGGGGCGGTTACAGATTCTTGGTGTGTTTAACCCAACCTTGCTTATCCAGACAGATTTTCACCAAATTTAGTTCTGAGTAATGTCTTCCAACAGCTTAGGGCTCCAAGAAAAGTACACAAATAAAAACCATGTGTGCAGACTGCGGTCTTAAACACCAGCAGGGAGAGAAAAGCAGATCACTGTTGACAATGAATGGTCTCCAAGGGCCAGGAAGACAGCATGGTGGGGCCGGGGATGCACTGAGCCAGCTCTGAATGCTGAGTCCCAGAGCTACTGGAGATAGAAGTGAACGGAACTCAAAGCCTGGCAAGTTGACTAGGGGCATGGCAGAGCGGAAGTGAGGGGTGTTCTAAACAGGCAAGAGAAGGGGTTGTGAGCCAGGGCAGGCAGTTTTCCTCAGATGTGTGAGGGCCAAGGGCAGAGTCCTAAGTATTCGTGAAAAAGCCAAAGTGGATCCCCCGCCCCCATACAGGGAGAGTCAGGTAACGGTAACGCTGGAGGTAATGAGAGCCCAGCTTTACAGACACTGAGCATCACAAGCCCAAGCCTTCTCTGTGGCCTGTCTAGCAACTGTGTACACCTACCAGCCACTCAACAGCTCCAAATCCTTTGGGAGAGCTTTCTTTCTTTCCACCATCTGTCTGGTGTACATAGCACATTGGCACCTATGCCATTCCAGGGCTTGAGACCAAGGTGGCAGGCCCAAGATCTGGGCTTTCATGGGCTGCTTATGCCAAGTGAATTTACGCCAAGAGCTTTGCCAAGTGACAATGACCTGGATTCTAGTCCCACCCCACTTCCTCCACCACATGAGTACTGGAATCACTGTCTGGAAGGTTTTCATAAGCCTAGAGTTGACACTTAGCTTGAACCACACATGTTTTACAACAGTGATCCCACTTACAGCATTTCTGGAGAATGTGTTCCACTCAGCCGCAAAGGGGAAGCATGACCCAGCTTCTCTTTATTGCCACCCAGAGTCCTCTCTTAAATAGCCAAAGTGACAGTTTTGCATTTTCTGCCCGCGACACTTTTCCAGGCTCATGGGTTTCTTAAGCTTATTCCCCCACTGTGTTCTTCCAGTGCTTCCAGAGACAGAGAATGGAGCATCATGCAATATCCATAGCTAATGAACTCCCCAAGAGGATAAGGGGCTTTGTTCTGTGGCAAGTCTCCTGAGGTTTATTGCCATACCCCATCAGGTGCTGCCACCTTACCTAGATCAGACAGCCATTAGCTTTCCGTCCTCCTCAGTGCCTCTCCCAATCCTCCACTCTTCCTTTACGCAGAAGGAATGTACCTGTGCAGCCGCAGATACCCAGAGAACACGTCTGGCTTCCTATCTCCTGGAAACGGGCTGCCTCCCAAACTCCTGATCACACACTGAGTTAGGAACCACACCATTTGCTTGTGGTATCGATGTGCACCCAAACCTCAGTGCACAGGCTGTCCAGGATGAAGGAAGGTTTAATTATAAAACAGTATCACCAGGGCAATCATTATTGGGTCTGCAATATTGTGAGGAACATGGAGTGAACAGGAGACTGGGTCAAAGGGTTCCAGGAGGAGGTAATAACTGAACAGCAACTAAAGAATGTGAAGGAGCTGTCAAAGGGCAGAGGTTGGTGTTCAAGGCACAGACCACATAGGCAGGGAGCAGCAGCCGCCCTGTTTGGTGTGGACGGGAAACAGAGGTACAGACCAATGCGCTAGAAATTAGCAGAGGAGGTGTGACAGAAAGAAGCTGTGGGGACCTGTAGACAGTGAGATCATGTGTGGGTTCTAGCAGAAAAGGATGTTCAGATCCTCATCTTTCCTCAGCTCCCTGGCAGCTGAGGACAG